TCTGCAAAGGATAATGATGATTTATGCATTATTTGTTGGGATGGTGGAGATCTGTTGCTTTGTGATGGATGCCCAAGGGCTTTTCATAAAGGTCAGATATGCAGCACATAAAATTTGATAGACAACTTAACTATTTACTACTTTGGTCCTATTTATAAGGTGTCTTAAAAAAAGCAAAAAATGGTTCTAATTATAAGATGTCAAACAAAAAGATGAAACATTCACCAATAAGTGTTGGTCCTAGTGGAAGTGGCTATGGCCGTTTTAGCACTAGGTATCAAGTTTGGGTCTGTGTAAATGCAAAAAAAGTCCTTAGGAGAGCTACCTCCTATTGGGCTCAACAATGCTCAAAAGTTCTGCTCTTTAACTTGAGAAAGTATTTTCACAAATAACAAGCTGACTCATGGTCTTCCTTTAATTAATAAGAGTATAATTGGAAAATTGGGAATTTTTTAACCAATAAAGCAACATAGTAACTTTTTAACCTTGATTAATGGGCACTTTATATAAAGCCCAAGAGATGACTCAGTATAAGATAAAGTAAAATAAAAGCACAATTAATAAAAGAACAGTTGAAGCACAAAAATAAAAATAAAAGCTATTTTAATAAAATAAAGTTCTAAGTCTCGTGTATCCTTTGTAGATGGCTTACTCTCTAATTTACAATTAATTACTAATATTATCGCTCCTAATTTTCTTTTCTCATTCTTCATTGTCTTCTATCATATTGCTGCATTTTTTATAAAGAAATAACCTTCATTTCATTTTTTTAAACAAACAATATTATTTTCTTAAATTATTTTAAATGATTTATTGAACTGGAAATAACACTTCCGAGAAATATGTGTTGTTTGACAAATAAAAAGATATTTATCTTCCAAGTGGCTTCTATATTCCATTGTAATGTACAGAATGTGCATCTCTGTTGAGCATTCCGCGTGGTAATTGGTACTGCAAGTTTTGCCAAAACATGTTCCAAAGAGAAAGATTTGTGGCACACAATGTCAATGCTGTGGCAGCTGGGAGAGTTGAAGGAGTTGATCCTATTGAGCAGATAACCAAAAGATGTGTGCGCATTGTCGAAGATGTTGATACTGAGCTCAATGGATGTGCTTTATGCAGGTACTTCATGGGGATTAAATGTCTATGTATGAGCTTGGTGTATATTTTTATTCTGCTGTTTGGAATCAGCAACTTTTACCTTGCTGTCTACTGCTATATTAAATTAATCATTTCCCAATCTTTTACAATTGTTAATTGTTAATTTTATATTTACCTGCACATTATGAAAATGAATTTGTGCATGTAGGGCTTGTGACTTCAGCAAATCAGGATTTGGTCCACGAACAATAATAATCTGTGATCAGGTATGCATGCTAGTCCATTGTCATGAAGCCTCAATATCAGCATGAAATAGCTTTTGTCAAGTTCCCAAGTTCATAAAAGGGCATGATTATTGATGCAAGTATTAAATTCCATGGGGATCCTTCCATGTTCATCTATTCTTGCCCTTCTCCATTTTTTCCAGTGTGATAAAGAATTTCATGTTGGCTGCTTGAGGGATCATAAAATGTCATTTTTGAAGGTATGCTGTGTGTTCCCATGTCTTAATATGTGGATACAATAGTTTGGATTCCAATCTTGTGTGTAGTCTACTGGCCATGTTATAATTTTTCTAGGTCTAATGACAGGAATTGCCAGAAGGGGATTGGTTTTGTTGCCATGATTGCTCAACCATACATTCTACTTTTCAGAACCTCCTGGTTGGGGGGGCTGAGAAACTTCCAGAACCTCTCTTGGATGTTATAAAGAAAAAGCAAGAGGAAAAAGGTTTAGAATCCCTTAGTGATATTGATGTGAAATGGAGGCTTCTTAGGGGCAAAATTGCTTCTCCTGAAACTAGGCCATTTCTTTTGCAGGCTGTCTCAATCTTTCATGTATGTTCTGTCATACTTCAATATAAATTGCTTCATCCTTTTGTTTTCCCTCTTGAGGGGATCAACATCATAATTCCTGCAGGTCTCCAATTATAGATCTGCTTTAATTCTTCCATGCAATATACTTTATTTTCACATTTTATTGGTTATGGATGGTGTTAAAGTTTGTTTTTAAGCTTATTCTCTATTTTTTATCTATCTGTTTGCAGCCTGGATGATTTGTAATTTATTAATTGAAGTATTTAGATAAAGGTCTAATTGAAGGGTTAAACATATATTTCCCGTTCAATATACAATATAAATGGCTCCATGTCAAAGTAACTGATGTTATTATATTAATATTATATCACAAGTCAGCTTCTGTGCAGGCTTATGCCTGAGCGTGTGTCTTCATGTTCTATGAACTCGGGATAGTAGATAGGGATATGGCTTGTGTTTAGGGGCAGGGTTGATAGTTGGCTACAATGATTATCTCACTTTGAGAGAGCATTTGTGTTTTACCTTCTGGACCCAATTTTGAGTTTGCGACCATGGCATGTTTCAGGAATGCTTTGACCCTATAGTTGATTCAATTACTGGACGCAATCTTATTACGGCCATGATATATGGGTAAGAAATTCCTTAATGGTCATGTGTTTGCTTTTCTTTTGTCTCCATTAACATGCATCTCTCGCGTGCAGAAGGACTGTTCGGAGACAAGAGTTTGGAGCGATGCATTGTGCAATATTAATGGTCAAGTAAGAAGTGGTTATCATCGTTTGACTCTTTTTTTTTTTTCATATTTATATTACTGTTCACAAATTGTTTTCTTGATATTGCAGTTCAACTGTGGTATCCGCTGCCTTGCTTCGAATTTTTGGAAGTGATTTTGCAGAGCTCCCACTAGTTGCAACTCGTAGTGTTAACCATGGAAAGGTGCGGGACTATAGCCTGGCAACCATTCTCGCATTAACCATATCTGTCTTCTAAAATCTTCCTTGCCCTATTTTTATTGTGACCCACACGTGTAAGATCTGTGCGTGCTTAGTAGGTCGTGGCATTCCATGACTGTCAGCAGTGGTATTTACTAGTGAAGCCAAAGCATGATCTCTCTATTGTGTTTTCCTGTAGATGGACTTCTAGTTGTTTGACCTGGTGGCATCATATTCTTCCTTCCCGTTGAAACTTTCTGGAGATGGTTTCATTATTTACTGTTGATATGGATTTGTATGGGGAAAGCTTATGTTGTAGTAGTGGATTAAGTAGACGTTTTTTGGTTTGACCTGACAGGGGTACTTCCAAATGCTATACTCCTGCATCGAGAAATTGCTGACTTCTTTAAACGTGAAGAACCTTGTGTTGCCAGCTACCGCTACTGCAGAGTCCATTTGGATTGAGAAATTCGGGTTCACGAAGATGACAGCAGATGAGGTATTTATATTGTTTGCTTCATTACCTAGAAACGTTGTGGTTAACATTTTGGCGCTGCTCCTACTTGAGCCTCCCAAAAGGATTTGACTGGGCTCTCTCTTTATGCGGCAGCTTAGCAACTACAGAAAGAACTACCAGCAGATGGTGATATTTCAGGGGACATCCATGCTTCATAAAATGCTTGCTCCGTGTCCGGATATCAAAAATTCTTCATGAAAAAGATAAGTTTTAATTATAAAAGCGGAAAGTTTGTAACTTTTATTCAATGTGTAGCCAATTTTGAATCTGTACCTATCAGTTGTTTTAAGTATTTAGAGTTTCATTAAATTAAGTTATGGTTGTGCTGTTGAATAAAACGTGGGTAGGTTGTACCGTATGACATTGCAATATTTCCTTGGCATGACCTTCATGGATGTCATGGTCAAAATGATGAAAATTCAAGGTATTTGCACCTTGCCCTACCTCCCTGATGAAATCACTTGCGGACTTGGCCTTCGATGGGTGGGGCGAAATTTTTGTATGGCTTTTTAAAAATTTTATTGGAAACTTTTAATTCGTTATTTAAATAAATTTATTTAAGTTAAAGAAAATCAACTCACTAATAATATATTTACCTTTCTAAAATTAAAAAATAAAATGTAGTCAAATTAACATCAATCTCACGTATGTACATAAAGATTGCGCGGAAAATGCGCAAAAGCTGCAGAGATTTTACGATGCTTCAACGAAGATTGCACAAAAACTAACCAGGGCTTACAATAACTTGCCTAGAACTTTTACATAGATTCATTTTCTAATACTAATAACAACCACAATAATAATAACTATAGAGGTCAATTTATAAAACAAAAATATTAAAATTCAGCATATGAAATCATGGAAGGTCTAGACACGTATCATCCTTTGTTGTCCTGATCACCTTCGGAAAGTGAAGAAGGGCACATGTTCACTTTTAATTTAATTCAGATCAAGCACAAAAGAAAATCGTTCAATTCGCTATGATCTGTGACTGGTTTTGTATAGGTGCGCCGCGGCAGCTTGAGTAAGCTCTGAGTCTGGGTCTTCAAAAATGAATTGTGAGACCGAAAGCATTTAAAAGGAATAATAGAGAAGAATTGTAATTAATCCATTTATAATAAGTTTGAATATTTCTTCAACCAGACTATGGATTCAAATCCAAGTATCGGTAATTGTTTAACTGAATTAACACAGTGCATTACAAGCCAAGAAGACAGCTTCTTGGATTTCTTACACACAAACAATCATATTGTCGTTCCGGATTGCCGCCGGCCAACATTATCTTTGCTTTCAAAGTAACCAAACAACAATATTGACCACTACAGAGAACCTTCAATCCTTCATATATTATATCATCTATCGCCTTATATTCTCTCTCCAATTTTTAGCTATCTTAGCTTCTCCACCTTCCAAAACTTCATTCATTTCTGCACATCTCTCTCTTCTCTTACCATTAAATTAACTTTTCATTGCTCTCACCATAATGCTTATAAAACCAGACATTAGAGAAGATAGGTCCATACATTTCTTGCCTTCCACTCCAATCTTGCGTCAGTCAGACCTGATCACATGCACATAATATAACCATACATACCTCACTCTGTCCTCCACGCCAAACCCGTTTCCTAACTCAAAATAACACAATCTCACGATCAAGCTAACTCATAAAGCTTTTTAACTATGGGATTCAACAGAATCCTCTTCTGGCCACTTGCCTTTTTCACTTTTTCCCTTTCCATCATGATTGTTCGCCATTACACGCCACCTTCCCTCACCACCATCGCTTCCATTAATCCTCAAAGAAATTTCAAACAACATGTTATCTTAAGTAGGATTATAAAGCTCAGTGGGGCTGAAGACTTTGTCTCTCTAATAACAAGATTTGCGAGGCTTCACCCCAGAAGGAAGCAGAAGGAAAAATGTGACAAGGCCACCTGGGATTCTGATCTTATTTTGGACTACAATGTGAGTCTTGTTTTGACGGTTAGCTTAAAGGATTGTGGAAATTTTAGCAGCATACAAAAGGCATTGAATGCTGTTCCCGAATCGAGTCCTGATAAAACGCTTATCATTATTGATTCTGGCATATACAGGTTCGTCATCTATCATTTAGTTTTGATAATTAATTTTTTCATTATTAATAAAGTTACTTTTTTTCCCCAAATAATCGATATTTTAACTGGGAAAATGATAGAGAGAAGGTAGTGGTGGAGGCAAGCAAAACAAATTTGATATTGCAAGGTCAAGGATATTTGAACACAATCATAGAATGGAATGATACTGCCAACTCGACAGGAGGGACCTTTAATAGTTACACAATTGGAGTCTTTGCTTCTAAGTTTCTTGCTTACAAGATTAGTTTTAAAGTAAGAAATTAAATAAACGTGTTGGTTTAATTTTATTTTACACCTTCAATTTTACGGATTGGGAAAATTAATCTAGTTTTAACATTTGATCATATGAAAATTGAGAATACGGCCCCAGCACCGTCGCCAGGTATGATAGGAGCACAAGCAGTTGCATTAAGAGTGAGCGGTGATGAAGCAGCATTCTACGAATGTGGAATGTATGGTGCTCAAGACACCCTCAATGATGATAGTGGAAGACATTATTTTAAAGAATGTTTCATCCAAGGATCCATTGATTTCATATTTGGGAATGCAAGATCTTTTTACGAGGTAAATTTCAATTGGGAAAAATAATATTAAAGTCTCAAAACAAATAATTTATAACAGTTAAATTTTTGATAAAATTTTTTAAAAAATTAACTGTAAATATTGATTCAAACAGTTAAAAATTTTAAGAGTTTTAATTGTAAATAAGAGATTTAAATTCTAAATATAACTTTTAATTTGTAATTGCAATCCTTATTTACACCTATCTAAATCAATATTTATAATTTATTTTTCAAAAAATTGTCAGAATTTAACTGTCATAAATTTCTTGTTTTGAGACTTTATTATCATCATTCTCCCTTTTAATTGCCTTTGCTTCAAAGAAACTTATCCTTGATGATCATATCGTATTTATATAAATAATTCTTCAGAACGATGCATCATGGCAACTGTGTGCAGTAATGTGGCATTATTCGCGCAATCGTCAAAATTTACGTAATTTATTCCCTAAAATCTTTGATTACTTTATGCTTATACCTATAAGGCCACCTGAATACACGATTATTAGGGGATTAGTTGAAATTATGCAATAGTTTTATTTGGAATGAAATTTCAATGTCTGTACTTTTGAAAATAGTTGATAGTTTAAAACATTAATTAAGATAGTAAATACAAAAATGAGTGCATTATGGCTTTTGATGCTAGGATTGTACCATAAACTCTATATCAGCTGAAGAAGGAGCTATGATTTCTGGGTCCATCACAGCTCAGGCAAGACAGTCGGAGAATGAAGAAACTGGATTTTCATTTGTGAATTGTAAGATTATTGGGAGTGGAAAAGTGTGGCTTGGAAGAGCATGGGGAGCATATGCCACTGTGGTCTTCTCGAAAACATTTATGTCTGAAGTTGTTGCTCCTGAAGGATGGAATGATTGGTCTAATTCTACCAGAGACATGTTTGTGATCATTATCTCTTCATTTTTTTTCTCCCAATCCCTCTCTGTCTCTTCTATGTTGTAGTCCAAACGCACAAGTTATATATATATTTTTTTTTTAACAGGACTGTCTTTTTTGGAGAATATCATTGTCTTGGAGGTGGAGCCAACTACTCGTCTAGAGTCACATATGGAAAGCAACTTAAAGACTATGAAGCAGGACGCTTCATGAATGTTTCATATATTGATGGAAACGATTGGCTTCTTGATCATCGAACAAACTTAGATGTTCTTCTAATGTCAGAAAAATAGGGGGGAAAAATCTTCTCTCTTCTTGAATTAGTAAGTTAATAGTAAACCAATATATTGTTTACGCCGCTTTAATCTAACTCGCACATGATAATGGTGAGGAGGAGAAGATAAGGTTTAGCTAGATTGAAACCTTCTTTTTAGAATATATTGTTCATTATTGATTTGTTTAGAAATGTTGTCTTTTAGTTGACTTCTTCAGTCTTCATTGTGAACCGTCCTATGAGCGACAATAGTGATTCCAGAATTATTCACTTCTTTGTATAAATGCATACAATTCAAGCATGCAAATGTTTTAATTAAATTGTTACATTAGTGATTTAATTCTTGAATTTGGCTAAAACTGATTATAAGTTTTGAAATGATTCAATTTACTCATTGATGGCAAATAACATGGAAAAAGAGGAAGGCCGATGTGACGGAGAGAGCAATTTGGGACTTGCATGTGGGAATCTTGTGGGTGACTATGGATGAGAATGCATGAGAGGGAAGGTGGGGGATGTACATGATCCATTGGATATAGAGAAAGTTTTGCACGTGATACTAAAAACTGTGTGATAAATGTCCATGTTACATTTATACATTAGACAATCCTACTTGAAAGTTTTACTTTTATATAAATTAGGCAGGGTCATAACTATTATATTATACATGGTCCAAAATAATTATTTATATAAATATAACTATTAAGATATCTACCCTATGTTTCTTTGATGCATAGGATATGCACAAATTATGCACGAATTATAAAATAGATGTGCACGAATTATGAACAATTGTGAATTAATATAACCTTAGTATAAAATATCCAATGAAAATTATTGTAATAGGAGAACATGGGACATTGGAGATTTTTCAAAAGTCATGGGCCTTTGTTGACCATGGGCCGAAGCCTGCATGGCAATGGATCAACTTGGCCCATTTTGTTCTGGATGAAGGATCTGCAGTAGGAGTGAAGAGACCCTTCTCCTTCCACCGCTTCAAGAGCCATTTCTGCAACTGCAACCGCTCTTGGACGAGGATATTGTTCCTTAATTTTAAGATCGCGCAGGTTAAAACTCAGCCGTTCAGATCTTTATTCATTTATTTCTTTATAGTTTGTAGTGGTTATTATCGGAGTGACTCCGTTATGATGAGTGGCCACGATTTGACATGCATTATTTAGTTTATACTAAATATATATTAAATCTAGGTATATAATTTTTTCACTCTGGATTTTAATAGATTGAGTCCATATTAAACTGAAGATAAGCGAAATCCGTTTGAGTTTTGCCCCCTTAATCTTTGATGTTATGAGGCAATAACATTGAATATAGCTGTAATACGGATTTGGTTAATGATGAACCCATTATTTTTTGTGATTTTTAGAGGCTTTTAGACTTAAAAATGCTCTTTAATTGCGATAAATTAAGGAAAAATGAGTCATGTAGCCTCACTTAGTTGTTGTTTGTAAAAATACAGGAAATGAAAAAAGAAGGGACCCAAATGAGATTAAAATAAGAGAATTCGAATAAAGTTCCAAGAATAGGCCCAAGAAAACTCATCCACCCATAGATGAAGCACAAAGACACTCAACTCGTCATGGATGAACAAGGTTTCAGAGCTGGTTCTGACCTCAGTTATGTCTAGTCGCGGATGAAATATGAAGAAGCATGATCGATTGCAGATGAAGAGGAGATTCTCTCTCCTTGAGCTTCTGCCGCAAGTGGACCAACTCAAGAGAGCCACGACCGTGTGTGGTTGAAAGCCTAATGGGGACATTCCTTGCCCTTGTGCCGTGCGCAATGAGCGTGCTGAAGGCACGACCACCCATTGACGAAGATCCGTTACACATGAAGGCCCATATTTAAATGAAATACTCCCTTTAATCCTATTTATATAATAGAAAGAGAATAATTTTTTTTAATTATATTTATAAGTCACGTCATTAAATTGTTATCATAAATTTTTTCTTTTACTCTCTATTGAATGTGGGAAAGAGAAAAATATGTTATTGAAATATGTATATTTAATATAGACAAAGTTAAGAATTTATTAAATTTTAAGACAGAGTTAATAAGTTTTAAAGTTTTTTTTTATACTCATGAAATATATTGAAAGTGACTTATAAATAAGACTAAAGAAGTAAATGTAAATGTCAGATCCAACCTGAAAATGATGTAAAGCATCAAGATTAGGGCTCCTTGGGGTGCAAATTATATAAGAAAGCCTTATAAACACTTGGGATATATTCATTCTCTTGGATGCAATCTGGATGACTGAGTATGGAGCTTGAGAGTGATTTGTTTGATCTAGAAGGGATTTTCTATTCTCCTACTTTGTTCTTTACTTGATTGTTTGATGGATTTGGAGATTATTATGGCTAAGTACATGTTTAGTTTCTAATTCCCTAATTAGGGTAAGGTGTAGCTTGGCTATGATGTTTCTATTCTTTTCTTGCTTTACTTTTTATTCCTATTGGTTTGGATTTAATGTTTTATGACCATTTCAAAATATTTTATCAATTTCAATTGCTTTTCCTGTTTTATTTTTGAGTTTATTCTTTGTTCAAGGGGCTGTTCTATAAACTAGAAGAAGAAAAGCAAATCTAGATTTAGGAAAGTAGTAAAACCAACTAGATTAAAAATAAATTAGGGGCTTGTGGTGGTTTTAATTGTAGCTTAATAATTTAATCAGAGGGTTAAAATTAGTGAAAGCTAGTTTAACTTCAATTAAATACAACTTAATTTGCCGGAAGGTAATAAGTCACATTTGTAATGCTTGTTATTTGAATTGAGCAAGAATGGTTTTGATAAATAAAAGTAGGAACAATTTTTTTTAATTAATTCTATTTTTGTTACTTTCGAATAAATAAATTATCAATATTCTTCTTTGGGTTTGACCCAAAATACTTTGAATTTATTATTACATTGATTCCGTACACTTGCAGAAGCCAATTAGTTAAAAAAATTGTGCAATGAAAAGAGTTACATTGATGCAATTCAAAAGGAACATGGTTTATGAATTTTTGGAATGCAAGAAATGAAGCAAGTAGCAACAGACCAGGAGATTACTGTAGCAAAGAGTCTTCGCTCTAGTTTGCTGGATGTTATAGAAGAACCAATGCAAAGAAGTCTTTTCCCCCAATTGTTGTATGGAGAAGGATATGGCTTTTCTACTCTGGTTGTCTCTGGGGATATAAAACTTGGGAAGCTTGCTTGGAGGATTCATCACAGGAGGTTGCTTAGTAAAATGCAATGGATGCCACTTGGATGGGATTAGATTAGACTGGATATTGACGGTTCTGTCAATAGTTCTATTTGGACATGCTTCCTGCGAGGGGCTCATCAAAGACAGTGAAGGAAGATGGAAATACTGTTTTGCTAAAAAGCATGGCTACATCCCGATCATGATGAAGGCTAGACTCTTCGCTTTGCAAGAGCTTACAGCTTTGTTGGCTTCACGGTTGAGAGAAGAATAAAGTCCTCTCTAATTCCTTGGAGGTTATTCTTGAAATCATGAACATTCATGACGAGAACCATCTGACTTTCAACATTGTGCAAGATATCAGGTATCTCTTAATGAAGATTGGGGGCTTATTTACTTACGAGCATTTTTACAGAAGCTTAACGTTGAGAGATTAACGTTTAGAAATTAAGCTTAACTTTTGTTCAATGAGAAAACAGTGAGCAGGGTCATAAAACCGTTATTGAGATTAACGTCTAGAAATTGATTCAAGGGTTTATTTAAAAGACCTAATGAAAAAAAAAAAAAAACGCCTGCCAACTTAACGTAATTAACTTGTGAAGCTTGGACGACAAGTATTAATTCCCAAGAACTTTGCCGACAGCCAAAATCACGTGGTTTTCATTTTTTGTCAGCTTCTTTTTATGCCGTTGTAAATCAGGCATCAACAACTCAGCAATACAAGAAGTCACCCCAAAGCTGAGTTAGTGCAAACGCTCTTCATGCATTAATTTTGGCCGAGTCGTGGCTTTTTGCTCCATTATTCATTTCATCTTCAACCTTTGACATGTTGTGTTATGTCATCAATTAGCAGTGACATGTCGAGAAAAGAAAATCCACCTTTCTCCACAGCCTTCTCCGCCTTCTCCGCTAACAATCTCGCTCTTTCTCTTATTCTTCTGCTGTCTTCATCTTCACCCAATGCTTTCTCTACAGCCTCCTTCACTTGTTCCCTTCTCACTTGAACTGCGCCAAAATCCTCTTCCTCCCCAAGATGCACCACACGCTCACATCCCACCCTCACGCCGGTCTGCACCACTTGCACGATAACCTTCTCATTATAGAACTGCTCTCCAAACAAAGGAAACGTTATTAATGGTACCCCACTGCATATTCCTTCCAGCGTTGAATTCCAACCACAATGTGTTAAGAAAGCTCCTATCGCTGCATGTGACAGTATTAACACCTGAGGTGCCCAACCTCTTATTAATATTCCTCTTCCTTTCACCCTCTCCTCTAATCCATCTTCTGACAGTAATTTCTCTGCTTCGTCTCTTTTGTATGCACCTCTTAGCACCCAAATGAATGGTCTTTCTGTAGCTTCCAGTCCCAAACCGAGCTCCATCAATTGTTCTGGTGTTACTCGATTTAAGCTTCCAAGGCAGACATAGATGACAGATCTTGCCGGCCATGAATCAAGCCACTTCGTATAATAATGGCCTGCTTCTTCGTTTGTCATTTGAGTCATTCTTGCCTCTTTGAGCCTTGTCCAAGTTGGTCTCGTTGGACAGTGAGACGGGGCCAATACACCAGACCTTTTTCCCGGTGACTTTTTTATACTCTTGCACGTACCTTGCTTCTAATTCTTGGAAGCTGTTCACCAGCGTTCCAAATGCGTCTCCTTCAGATTCTCTTACCATCTCACGAGCAATGTTCAGACCTTGGTTTTTAGCATTAGGATTGAACGCCCCCGGAAGCTGATATTTTTTAATTCAATTCTGTCAGGCAATCCGGGCACAAAGAATGGTTCTGAGTCCGACACATTCTTATAGACCTTAGAATCATGCAGACAGTGATTGCATAGTAAGAAGAAACAACTAGTCCCATCAAATATTATTCTTGGGACTTGGAACTTTCTGGCAACATCAGCAGCAGGTAGAACATATCTGTCAGATATTATGCAGTCCGAGTGGGATCAAGCTTTTCAAAGAGGTCTTCAAGTGGGTGCTGCAACAAACACAAAGCTCTGAAAAAGTTCCCCTGAAGATCCATGGAAGGCAGAGTATCTACGCTCTCATGTCCCTCAGGTATTCCGGAC